CACACACACACACACACAGACACACACACACACACACACGGACAGACACACACACACACACACACACACACACACACACACACGGACAGACACACGTACACACACACACACACACACACACTCACCTCCAGCGCCCCCCCTCCTCCCCCCGGTTTCTTCTTCAGCTCTTCACACTTCCTGAACTTGCAGATCTGGTGACCCGTCTTGCGGTTGCGGCATGACGAGCAGACGCCGCAGTTGATGAGCCGTCGGCACGGCCCGCACACGCCGCACCGCTTCCTCTTCCTCTTGGCCGTCGCCCCCGATGACGAGGACGACAAGGCCACGCCCCCCCCCGCCCGTCACCCCCGACGACGACGGCGAGGAGGAGGAGGGGCAGGGGGAGGAGTTGGCGTGCTGCTGGCAGTCCGTTAGCGCCCGTTGGCCGCCGGTCATCTGGAAGGCGCTGCCGGCGTCCAAAGTCCCACCTCCCGCCGACCCCATCGCCATGACGATGACCCCGGGGGGTAATCCCAGCCCCCCCAGGAAGCTGCTGCCCATCACCCCTCCCCCATTGCAGCCCCCGCCCTCCGATAGGCCCATCATGTCCGGGTGGGCGTGTCCCTGTTTGTTCATGACGCCGCACTCCGCCCCCCCGCCATAACCAGGGAGAAAGTTCCCGTTGCTAGGCGCCATGGGGTGATGGTGCGCGGCTCCTTGTGAGGAGGGGGTGTGTCCGTGTTTCTCAGCTCCTCCCCCCTCACTGCTCCCTCCAGCTCCTCCCCCTCCCGCCCCCCCGCCGCCCTGGTGCATGCTGGTACTGGGGTGTATTGAGGTCATGTGACCCGGTGTTGCTGAGGGGTGGTGGGGGTGGTGGTGGTGGTGCGTCGCCGGTTTGGGTCGGCCCCAGAACATGGCCGCCGGGTGATTCATGTTCATGTTGTCGTGACAACCCCAGGGCCCCGTCGCCATGGCGCCCAGCCTGGCGGCGGCGGGGGGGAAAATAGGGGCGGCGGCCGCCAAACGCGCCGCCAGTTTGGCGGACTGAGGGAAGTTCGAGACGTTCATGTTCACGTTGGTCTTGTAGAAGCTGGCGATGGAGGAACGGTAGCGGTCCATCTCGGTGGTGTAGTCCAGCATCGGACCGAGACTCGACACCTGAAACACACCGGCACCACAGGGGGTCAATAACGGGTCAATAACGGGTCAATAACGCGTCAACAACGCGTCAACAGTGCGTCAACAATGCGTCAATAACGGGTCAACAACGCGTCAATAACGGGTCAATAACGCGTCAACAACGCATCAACAACGCGTCAACAGCGCGTCAACAGTGCGTGAATAACCATGACGACGTCACAGAGCTTCAAACTGACACCGATCTTCAGCTGTTCCCCAAGTGAAATGAGAACGTTGTTTTTTACAACCTCTCCTGAACCTAACTAAGTATTTCACGATCTTTCCAAAAAGGCGACTCACCTGTCCCTGTCCACCATAACCATGGTGATTCGGGTGATGGTGAGAGGGGGCGGAGCTTCTTTGTAGCATCGAGGAGAGGTCGCTCTCCACACACACGCCGCTCGTCATGCCTGACATGACCTCACACACACACACACACACGCACACACTCACAGCTGGTCTTGTGTGGTTGACACGTTCTGCTCTGTGAAGGAAAACAAAGAAGGTGAACATGAAACAGTTCATTCTGCAGATTTCCCTTCATTCTATTGGACACGTCGTCACCACAGTATTCAAACAGGTTTGTCTCTTCTTTGAATCTTTAAACATTTGAATGTTACGATGGCAAAGACGCTCCTTCAAGAAGCTCCGCACAATGCTCTGCCAAGACATTCCGCCACGATGCTACTCCATGAAAATCTGCACAACGC